TGTGTTGCCATATACATACAGTCTGCCAGGGTCTTGTTTGTGCACAGACCCATGGTTGTAGTTTTGAAGTCTAGGCATGAGCATCCTAAAAACAGGGTTATGAAGAAAGGCTTGCAATAGGAAACCAGCAAGATATTATGCAGGAAGAAGTAATGGAAAATGGTCACAATAAATAAGCATGTGCTATCCGCCTTCTCTCTTGGAAAATATATATGTACCGGTATGTATAATTGTATGAGTATGTATCTATCATTAGTTTATCACTATAGTTAGTTGTTGATTTATTCTATCTGAGTTATTTCAGAGATGTTAATGACAAAAAATTGTCTCAATTCAGGAAAATTTTTTGGTGTTCTAACAACAACCAAGCTTTGCTAATTGATGTAAGTTAAGCCTATTTAAATCTTTTAGGATTTTATTTCTTTGTTTTCCTGCTTGGTGTCGAAAGCACTTTAAGTAAAAATGTTTGATTTAAATGTAAGTATTATTCACACACTTTCATTTATCGCTCTTCTTTTTAGAGCATCTTTAAAATGTCAGCCCACTGCCATGTCAAAGTGCTTTCTTGGGTGCCTCTAAGAGCCTTGATGATAGTTGATGTCTTGTGGTAATGAGGTAATTTGAATGTCCAGCAGACCATTGATATAATGCTCCTGACCTGTGTTTAGCCTCAATTACAGCAAAGAGCAGAGCAAATGCTTTAGTGTCATTACAAGCACTCACTGAGCCTGAGAGTTCTTTCAGCAGCAGTTAAAAAAAATATATGATGAAGGTATTATTTTTACGGGGAAAGAGTTATGCAGGACTGTCTTATATAATTTTCACAAACATATTTCTGCTTCAGGTTTCCAATCATCTCTGTGTCAAGGTTCTCCTTTAATGGATGAACAGCTTTAAGGCTCCGTTGACCATTAGCTAATTTCCACTCTTGCAGTCTGGTAGAAGTCGATTGATCCTCTTCTTTTTGTCACTCTCATTTTTTCCTTTGTCTCTGTACTCTCTGTCTGTCATCACTAGTCCAGCTCTAATGAGCAAAGGTCGACCTGTCCGCTCTCCTCACTTCTACTGTCAGTGTATATGTCTTTTACAGAGGTACTCATTAGCTGTGACCTTTATAAGATGCGATAATGAGCAGGAAGCAGGAGCAAAGAAAATAATCTTGAACAAAGCCTCTTTCAATGAAAGAACTGTTGCTTCATGATTTTGATATGCTTTATATATATACTACTTATACTGCTTAGTCACAGTACTCTACATCTCAGTAGTCTGTTGCGGATTTTCTTTACTGAAGACAATTCATATAGTTATGGCAGTTTCATTACAAATTTTAAAATTCAGTCACCAGAAAAAAAATTGACCTTTTTAAGTACATTTCTATAGAAAGTTATAAATGTAATGTCAGCCAGAACCGTGTAAATACATATGCCTCGACCTTTACTAGCATATTTCATTGTACTACAAAAAATCTTTTCTTGAGGAATCATAACACACATATTCTTTTCAACAAACTCTATGTTACACTGATCTCACTCTAGTTTTAGTCTTATTAGATATTTTTGAATACTTGTTCAGAGCAAAATCCTTAATCAGAATAGGACTGCCTTTAACAAAATTACACATTTTTAGCAGGCGTTAAGCACTTCCATTGACCCAAATATCTTGCGTTAAGAGACTCCTATTATAAAATGTGTATGATGTTATTTACTAATATTAAATGTTGTGGTTTCCTTAGCCATATTATATATATGTCTACCACTTGGTGAATTGAGTTATCTATCTATCTATCTATCTATCTATCTATCTATCTATCTATCTATCTATCTATCTATCTATCTATCTATCTATCTATCTATCTATCTATCTATCTATAGATAGATAGATAGATACATAGATATATATCTATAGATATACATATAAAAATATGTATATCTATATAGATAGACTGCGATGGACTGGCGACCTGTTCAGGGTGTGCCCCGCCTCTCGCCCGTAGACAGCTGGAGATAGGCACCAGCAACCCTTGCGACCACGCTTGGGATTAAGAATGTAAAAAAATGGATGGATGAATGGATATAGATGTACATATTAAAAAAAAAAATATATATATATATATTTCTGCACGATTTCAGTGATCCTTTTTTCCGCAGCGATGAACCTTCTCGTCAAATCAGCAGAGAAGTTGCGTCGAGGTGCAGTACTTGCAAGTGGAGTCCAGATGCTGCCCATTCGAGCATTTATGGACGATCTCACCATAACAGCAAGATCAGTACCAGAAGGAAGATGGATTCTGGAGGACTTGGTTGAGATCACCAATTGGGCAAGGATGGAGTTCAAACCAGAAAAATCTAGAAGCCTGGTTCTGAAGAAGGGGCGCGTTCAGGATTGGTATCACTTCAAAATTGGAGAGAACACGATCCCAACTGTCCAAGAAAAGCCTGTGAAGTGCTTGGGAAAGTGGTACAGGGCGGACCTCAATGACAGGCAGAGTGTGAAGGAGCTGCTTAGCCAGGCAGAAACTTGGATGACATCTCTCGAGAAGAGCAGCCTCCCGGGCAAGTACAAAGCCTGGGGTTACCAACATGGGGTTCTCCCCAGACTGCTCTGGCCTCTCCTGGTTTATGAGGTACCTGTCTCCACTGTTGAGGGACTGGAGAGGAAGCTGAACACCTACCTGAGGAGATGGTTGGGCATCCCAAAAAGCTTTTGCTCCATTGGCCTGTACAGCACAGGCAGCAAGCTACAGCTGCCAATAACATCAGTGGTGGAAGAGTACAAGGCGACAAAAACACGCCAGGCCATGATGCTGCGAGACAGTAAAGACGTGAGAGTACGTCAGGCAGACATCGTCATCTGGACAGGCCGAAAGTGGTCAGCCAGCAGAGCATTGAAGGAGGCCGAGGACAGACTGAATCACGCAGACATTGTCGGGTCGGTAGCCAAGGGAAGGCTGGGTTTAGGTTGCTTCACCAGAACAAGCTGGAACAAAGCGGACCCAAGGGAGAGGCGAGGCTTGGTGCAGAAAGAGGTCAGAAGGGTGGAGGAGGAAAGCCGGCATGTCAAGGCTGTAGCCATGAACAAACAAGGCAGCTGGACTAGATGGGAGAGTGCGAGAGAGAGGGCTCTTACTTGGCAGGACATCTGGAGCATGGAAGGCCACCGCATCAAGTTCCTTTTATGCTCTGTTTATGACGTCCTACCTACTCTCTCAAACCTCCACACCTGGGGAATGGTCGAGAGCCCAAGCTGCAAGCTCTGTGGAAGGACAGCTAACCTTGAGCACGTCCTCTCTTCATGTCACTCAAGCTTAGCAGATGGCAAGTTCCGGTGGCGTCATGACCAGATCCTTGCTCAATTGGCCGACGGCATCGAGCAGGCAAGGAAAAGGGCAAGACAGCTGTCCAAAGGGCCTTGTTTCATACATTTTACCAGGGCAGGAGAAAGTGGAGTAGTGGGAGGGAAGAGCAAGGGGGTCCTGGCCACGGCAAATGACTGGGAGATGCGGGCAGACCTAAAAAAGCAGCTCAAATTCCCTGAGGAGATAGCCCACACTAGCCTGAGACCAGACATTGTTCTATGGTCTAAAGGTACCAAGCAGGTGGTGCTCATCGAGCTGACTATCCCCTGGGAAGAGAGGATGGAGGAGGCCTATGAGCGTAAGCTCAATAAATACCAAGCCCTCATCCTAGAGAGCCAGCAAAATGGATGGAAGACCTGGAATCTCCCAGTGGAGGTGGGCTGCAGAGGCTTTGCTGGACGGTCGCTCTGGAGAGCCCTTGGACTGCTGGGGATTGAAGGGCTGGCCAGGAAGCGGCTTGTAGCCAACGTCACCAAGCGGGCGGAGGAGGCATCTCGCTGGATTTGGATGCAGCGCGAGGTGCGCTGGCAGAACCGAAGCACTGAGTGAACGAAGAACTGGATGAGGAGTTGGGTGGCGTTCGGTAGGGGTGGGCCCAGGACGCTGGATTTGCCGTTGAGCCCCTCCGAGGTGTCATGGGCTTAAATCAACGAAACACCAGTGAAGGGGGGTGCCCATTTGACAACCTTCTGAGCCTACCCAACTCCGATTCCAGTCACAGAGACCTAGTGGTGCCTTGAGGGAAGGAAAGAGAGAGAGAGAGCAATGCCACTGGCCCACAGATGGTGCAGGGGCAAGTACCTGTAAAATTGGACCAGTTGCGATATCCCTCATCGTATTTTGCATATATATATATATATATATATATATATATATATATATATATATATATATATATATATATATATATATATATATACTTATATATACTTATATATATTATACAGCTCATTAAAAAAGAAAATGCAGTCTTTAGGACATTAATTGAGTCTTTAAATAGAACACCCTCCATGACTTAAATGTGAAGTCCCATCTTAAAATGATTTCAATATAAATTGCTTTAAATTATGCTAGTTTCTCTTTTGCTATTAATACAGATTTCTCAATGTCAAATTTGACTTAGTTTTAAGGGTATCATTCTACATTACTAACACAGTGTGAACAGACCTCATATAAAACTGGATGCCCTCACCAGCTGTTGCAACAGTTGTTAAGACTAAACCGAAGTGTGTGACCCCTGAGAGACAAGATTGTCTGCTGGAAATTACTGTGGAGAGGACAAATGTTGCAGCTCAGTGACTTTATTAATATCAATGCAGAAATGCGAATAGACAAAATTATTTTTAACCATGTTGTGCTCGCTCATGGTGGCTTATGGATAAAATGTGGATTTTTGAAACAGTGAATCATACAAGGCCCCTTGGGTGTCTTCCCAGAACATGAAGATATATCTGGAGACTAGCATAAACATTTTTTTTACACTGTATAAGCTTCAGATTATATAGTCTGTAATTAAAAAGGAATTTTAAGAAAACTCGAGTAAAATAAACAGAAATATATCTTCACTTGATTACAGAGCCTTACATAACTTTTTTATACATATACAACTACTAATCTAAAAATTATGTCTCTTTCACCTGTACAGGAGCTGGAGGCTGGTCACCTCTGTTGTCAGATAAGAACCAGTGGTTGGAGGTGGATCTGCAGAAACGAACCCAGATAACGGCTGTTGCCACACAGGGCCGCTACGGCAGCTCGGATTGGTTGACATCCTACCTGTTGATGTTCAGTGACACAGGACATAACTGGAGACAATACCGACAGGAAGACGTCTTAGGGGTAAACTTAGTAACAGTTTACAGATAACCAGATAAACATTAGTGTCTTGTTTATACATTGTTTTATGATGACTTACTTTTTTATATAGTCATTTGGAACATAAATGACCTGAACAAATATCCAAGGCTGGATCTTCTGTTTAAGGCAGCTATGTTCACTTAAATAATTTGAAATCAAACATACCTGATATAATTAATTCTAAATGCAATCAGTCTTAAACAAAATGTAAATGTTAGAAGACAGTAGGACTGAAATTAAACTGTAAAGGCAACCAACATCAGAGGGAATTAAAAAAAAGAAGAAAAATCTGTTTTTTGAGGCATTTTTTTGTAGATGGTGATAGAGAATGGTGTGTAATAGTTACTCTACTAGTCATAAAATAACTGACTGATCTATTGTTGTTTATCATGTTCATGGCTATAAACCTTTTAAATAAAACAAACAGGCATGTTGATTGTTTCAACTAGATTTGTAAAAGAATGGGTCCCAGTTAGGAAGGGGTCCAGTGAGGCGTGGTTCCCAGAGATGGCAAAAGTACTCACTTTCCGTACTTGAGTAAAAGTACAGATACTTGTTTTAAAAAATACTCTGGTAAAAGTGGAAGTACTGATTAAACTTCTTTACTCAAGTAAAAGTAACAAAGTACAGGCTTGTAAATTTACTTAAAGTATAAAAGTAAAAGTAGAAACCACTTTTTTCATGCCGTTGCCTACATTTGAAATGGATGTCTGCCAATAGGACTAGATCTCCATTGTGTTCATTTTCAATCATCTCGTCGTCCATACTACTACAGTATGCTAACGCCACCGCCACCAAGCTGCAATGATTTGCTGCAAATGAATACCGCCGAATCTGTCAATTCATTGTAGTGGTGCATCAAATGCAACGTAGATTCCCATCCAATTAGATTGAATTTGGTATTGATGACGTGAAAAATAATAACGGTAACTCCATTGAAATGATTCAAAACTAAAGTAACGAGCCAATTTTTAAAAATGTAAGGAGTAGAAAGTACAGATATTTGTGTAAAAATGTAAGGAGTAGAAGTAAAAAGTCGCCATAAAAATAAGTAGTAAAGTAAAGTAAAAATATCATAAAAATCTACTTGAGTACAGTAACGGAGTATTTGTACTTCGTTACTTCCCATCTCTGGTGGTTCCCATGGGTACCAATTATGGCTGCAGTAGGTGTAGGTTATAGGGAAGTGAAAGTCATTGTAGATTGTTGTTTTATGGTCTCCTAAAGTTGTTTTTATCAAGTATCCCTATGTATGAGGGAAGTTAGCCCTCAATTTTATAAAACTGTTTAGTCATACCAATGCAGCTCTTTGAACCAGGTAAGAAATGTAGATGTGATAATGGGAACTTTTCAAATAAACTTGTGGGAACTATACTGCATGCAGTACTAACACATTCTCTAATGTTAACATCAGACTGAGAAGCAAGGAACATCGCAGGTAGGTTAACAGCATGAGATTGCTGTCAAGAGTTTAACCTCTGCTGAAAGGAGGTCGATGCTGTTGCTAAAAAGCCTGCCTGCCATGTAAAATGTCACAACTTTAATTCCTGTAGCAGCAAAGGTGTCCATTACAAGTCTCCAAGCAAGTTGATAAATGAGCACTTGCTAACTTATTCAGTGAATCAGGCTTGATAACAGTGTCAGGGCTTTGCCAAAAATATATATCTGCACCAAAAGAGCTTGCATACAGGGGAAGAAGTGCTTGATTATTTATTTATGATTATTATTTTCTTATTGCATGCATGTGTTTATGGCTTTTATGTACGTACAAAGCAACACGTAATTTTAGCTTATTATGAGTATTAAAAAAAGTCTATAATTAGTAAACAACTGACAGGGAATTACAGGGAATTGTGCATTCAGCAATTATTATTCTGGGAACATTTAAGATTCTTTAGAAAAAACTGAGCACTAATCTACTAACTGTAGCTGCAGCTTTTAATTTAGACTTGCATCGAAGATCTTCACACTGTGTGAATAATATATACTGGGACAGATCACCTCAAAGTCTATAGACATGTCTTCTACAGCACTGAAACGTATTGATTTGACACTCAGCACATAAGTTGGTTCATTCCCATCAGCTGTCAAATTGCACTCAAAGCTGCATGTATTACTTAGGGTGGCTTAGTGTCACAGAAATGGTGTGAACTTGCCTGTAAAAACAGCTGCATCAGTCACAGCTTCCTCCTGACTTTTTTGTAACTTAGATTTATAATTTTTTTCCAGCCAATCCTCTTGTTGAGTTTTTATTTAAATTTTTTAATCTTATTACAAGCTCTTTTAAGGTTTTGTTTTGTTACTGTATTTTTGTACTTATAAGGTCAAGGTTTTAAAAAGAATGTGGGACTAGCGCATATTTTTCTTTAATTTTTTTTTGTCTTTAAAGATGGATGATTCATTATTGTACTGTTTGATAATGTTCTCTTAATCACACCTTGATAAATTCCTTTTTTAGAAAAGTCACCCTTAGATTTATCCAAGGCGTTTTTTCATATCATAGGAATGTTTCCAGAAACATAATGGTTGGTTTTACTAAAGCATGATAAGAGTTTAAAAGCAAATTGTTCATGATCTTTACCTACAATTTCTGTAACAGGTATTTTTTCAGACATAACGCCACAGCACAGCAGTACGTATTTAAGAAGTGTTAGATTATTGAGCAGGGGCAGAGTTATTGCTCTGGTCAAGGAACACATATAGCTCTACAGTAATAAGAAACAGCTGGGGATGCAGCAGCCACACCGCTGTCAGAGAGATTACTGGTGGACTCAATGCTCTCATGTTTTGAGCTGGTGTTTATAAAGCTAAAACAAAATTTATTTCACCAAAGGTTTTAAAGCAGATATATAATTTGAACATTTATGTTTCACATTTTATTACCAAGATATGAGTCCTTTAATATGACTTCCCTCACATCTACTAGCTACTAGCTCAATCACAGAAGGGTAAGAAATAATTAACTAAAGGCTATTGATTACTGATCAAGCAACAGCATTTTCTAAAATATTATTTTAATAAATAATGTTTAATTTGCCTCTTGAATTTGCATTGTGTACTGGTTTCAACCCATTCAAATTGCTGTAAATGAGTCCAAAACTATTTGACCGTACTCCAAATTCTTTAAAGCTACAGTGTGTAATTTTCAGCGACATCTAACGTCCAGACTGCAGACCGCAGCAACATGAACATCTCCCCCCCACCGCTTCTCCCCCCCAACAGTACGGCGAGCGTTACGGGACAAAATGTCTTCCACGACGTCCGCATCACCTACCTTCTCAAGTGATGAGGTTTGTTTACATAGATAATTTTACAGATAGTATTTCATTAGTCTGTGTGTTCAGTACCGTCTCAGTTCATCTCTCTCAACTTGCCGTAGTTACTTTCGAGCGTAATGGGCGATCTCGCAATCGCTAGTTTGTTGGCTCTGCGCTGCCGTAGCGCAAAGATGTCTGCCTCCATGGCTGCGAGACCCGCTCCTATGTAATTATAAATAACAAATTCTAAGGCAACGCAAATATTAAGGTTAAGAGGCTGAGCTCGTAGATGATGATAAATAACATAGTTATGTATAATATATTACATTTTTGACTGTATATCCCTGTAATTATTACACACTGTAGCTTTTAGATAAATTTAAAATCCATGCTTAACTTTAATATCATTGCATCATTTTATTGATTATGATTTTCAACCTTTTTTTTATTCCTTCTTCTTTGTGGACATAGTAGCTTTGTGAAGCTGAGTTTTACTGGACTGTTCAGGAGTTTTTATATGAAATATGGTGATTTGGAGTTGAATGATTTTTGTTCAAAATTGTTATTTTTTTTAAATGACAGTTGTGGTTAATTTAATCCATATATGTGCAAACGTATCTGTTTCACTATGATTTGAGCTCATTTCACACTTTGTTGTCCTAGCACACAGCCATGTGGGTGTGTGATTAAGTAGCACATTCCCCCGGGGGTGTGCATTGAATATATCATTATTGCACAACACTGGCACTAAGCTGTCAATGAAACGGCTGGGGAGAGCTATGTAATTCTAAACACTGATGAGACTGGGAAACTTTTAGACATGGCCCAGGTGGAGAATTTGGCTGAGTGTTCTTAGCTTGCATATAGGAGAGAAAAGATATTTTGGGAAAACACAACCTAAACATAAACATGGGGTGGTAGAAATGAAAATATCGTAAATATTTATGAAATTTACCCTGGATACTCCTGGTGAAAAAAAAAAAAAACAACATATAATTTATTATTCTCTAATCAAGATGTTGGTACTCCAAAAATGTCTATTTCAGAAAAAAGGGAAATAATTGATTTAATTTTAATGAAGCAGAGAGATGGTAAAAGAATGAGAAGTTAAACACTAAAATCACAGGTTGAAACTCAAAAGCCTAATATATTTTAATCTTCATAATTAACATTCCATAACTGTAGTCATCCCATATAGGACAATTTTGATGATTAGAGATGACAAGAGAAAAAAAGGCAACAACTTTTCTGAGGTCTGATCTTTGCTTAGCTTTGACCTACAAACTGATGTCAGAATCATTCCCAGAACCATTTTGTTGGAACCATTAGTTCCTTCAAGATTAAGCTTCCTAAGTTGCATCATTCTGACAAGCTAAACCATATAAATGTTACTTGATAAAGCTTGCTGCAAGTGATTCAGCAGAATTTTGAGTGTGACTTTATCAAGGACATTGAATTTATTTTATCATCTGCAAAGGGCTAAAAACATCTTTATTCACAATTGCTCTATTGTTAATTCTCATGTCCTCCCATCCTTATCTTAATTTCATTCTTGCCTTGTCTCTCTTTCTCCTTCCTTGACTGAAAGCTTGTCAGAAGCTGCTCATATTTCAAAAGGTCCTCGGGTGAATAAATGAGATGCCATTCTCCTTGGCATCCACAGCAGGAAACAGAGCTATTTGTTGAGCTTAATGTTCGGCTGCCCAGCAGGCTCACCCCTTCAAAGCGCTGAAGACGGCACTGAGATCACATTTATGCAGTGCCAGAGAAGCCAATTGTTATCCCAAAGTCTCGCCAAATCACAGTCTGCTAATACACACAAACTCAGCCAGTGTCACAAGCTATATAATAAAGGCTGTTAATTTAAATCTGTGCACAACTATAAATTTAGCCGTTTGTCCACAAAGGCTTAATTTTTATGGGATATGTTTTAAATGAGGTGTTTTGTTGTTGGTACCTGCCAGATTTTCAAAGGCTACTGATTGGAAAAAAATAAAAGCAATCAGTCTTTTGAAAGAGGTTTGGTACAGACACAAAATGGGGTGCAGGGCTATTGATCACTCGACAAATCTGGGAGAGGTGAGGATGTGGGGTGTCACATCAGCAGTTGGGATCAATGGTCTGTTTGTTGGTAGCTTGAAAATGCAGATGGATGTCTCAAGGAGAAGTGGTTGGGGAGTACTTATTCTGTACACTTAGTTAAACCACAGCAACTGATGCATCCCTTAAAAAAGCAATGATGGTGTATGTGAATAGTAACAATTACTCTTATTTTACTCTTACTCTTACTTTATATTTAAATATATATCCCTCTTTTATATTTTAATTCATTTTTTTTCTTCTGCTGAATGTTGCTGCTTTAAATGTCTTCCAACACAGGATTTGTATTCTCTGTTTTCTTTTGTAGTTGAAAAAGTAGCTGGAATTTAAAGCACAGAAGTGTGTAGTTTAAATGTATGAGTGTAAAAAGCTTTCTAATTGTATATAAAACTGAATTTAACTAACATATAGTTATGGTGCTTCAGGCTTTTCCAGGTAACACTAACGCAGACACTGTGATCCAGTACAAACTTGATTACCCAGTGATTGCTCGATATCTACGCCTGATCCCGTTGGACTGGAACCCCACTGGAAGGATCGGACTCCGTCTGGAAATATATGGATGCAGATACAGTGAGTCTGCTTTCAGTAGTGAGAGCATTTTTTAATAAGGTATACGAGGAAGCAGTGTGAGTTTTATTTGCACTTTTAGCATAGAAGAAAAAGCCATTTAGAAACTTGGTTCTGAGTGCCTTTTAAAAATTTCCTGCTACCTTATGTGATAGGATTGGGGAAAATTTAGCTACCTTCTACTCTACTACAGTAGATTTCAATACTGGTCCTCAAGTACCACTGCCCTGTATGTGTTAGATTTCTCCTTAATGCCACACACCTGATTAGAAAAGTGACGGGAAAAAAAAGTTTTTGTAATTATAGGAGCAATTTGCAGCATTTAACCACTATGTGTTCCAGGACTATGGATTTTGTAATTTAATTCTTCATCAAAATTGGCAAGTAATCATCTCTGCCTTTTCTGCTTTGCTCTGCATTTGGGTCCAGTACAACATGTAACAACCCTGACAGTTTTGCTGTTTGGGCTTTGCCATATTTCATTTGCCAGTAATTTCTTCATATTCAAATTTGGTGTTTTTTATTACTTCTAGGCTATTCCTTAGTACATTTTCACATTTCTTTTAGTTTAATTTGTTTCTTCCCTTGTTTCTATTGTTAGATCTTTCCAGCAGCTTTACTTTAGTTATTTCATGGATTTGTTGTTTCCTTTCCTGTGTCATCAGTTCAATCACATTCAGTTCTGTCTTTCTTGTATTTTATTGCTACTAAACATTCAAGTCAGTTCAATCAATCAGCCTTTGTTTTGCTCATGTCCATTTCGACTTAAGTCCTTGTCAAAATTCTTTCCCCCTTCACGGATGAATACTGCTTCCATTCTCCATAAATCTGCTCTGCCCTGTCACGCCATGCTGTGTTGGATTGGCAAACCCTTTGGACAAGGTGGTGTAATCTAAGAGATGCTACTGTGATTTCATTAGCCCAGATATTGAACTGTTATGAGCAAGTTTTCCTCCTTATTATTTACTGAGTTTATTCAGTGTTTTAGCTGTATCTGCTTGTGTTCCACCATCAGTTGATGCAGAAACTACAGGTAATCTTATTAGCTCAGTTGCTGCTAAACTACTACTAACACCGTGGTATTTCTGGACATTAAGGTTTGAATCATGCCACAGACTTCCAATAATTAAACAATTTGTATCCTGCTCTACCAGAGAACACAAAAGTTGCATTTGTTTTATGCAAAGGTCGAGGACTCACACATCCTTAAATAGGACCTCCTCACATCAAATCAGGCCCCAATTTTGCTTTTACCAAGAAATGATAAGACCTGTGAGACGATGGTAAAAGGAAGCATAAGAAGCCTACAGACTGGGATGTGCTCTGTCAATCACATGGATAGGATATCAGTAACATGACTGAGTACGTGATTTAATATGGATATAATGCTCATGATAGATAACACCATTGGCACCAAAACAAGGGGGCTGCTTCCCAACAATAAACTATTTATCAGTGGTAACCTAAAGGAACAGCTGAACAAAATGGCCATCAAAAAGGAAGACAGGGAATTATTAAAGAATATACAAAGTCAAGATTAGATTAGAGACAGCATTTGGCATTTTAGAGCAGGGTGTTAGAGAAATTTTCAGCAAAAAAACAAAACAAAAAAAAACAGAGATGTATGGTAATAAAAAAAGATCCCATCCTTCAAACAGGAGGAGGGTTGAACAGATGGAAGTCTTGACAGAGCGGATAAACTAAGCACATTCTTTATCAGTTTTTCTTGAAGAAAAAGCTCAACATATTTCTTTCCTGCTCACAGCAAAACAGATATTCTACATAATTTGAGCTGAAGCTCTGTTGTTAGACCTTTTATTTTATCTGCCACCTCCACATGGATCCTTTTCCTTTAATGTCTTCAAAGAAAACTTAAGATGGTGGTGTACTGCCCTTACATCCCACATCATGAGGGTCTTTGATTGACCGATGGCAGCCCATGTGAGAGAAAAAAAGAAAACAAGTAGTTTTATAAGACCACTTTCATTGTGCTTACCAATATAAAGTCGGCCCTGAAGAGGCTATCATACAACTGCTTCAAGAGACTCACTGTCACTTAGATTAGGCAGACAGTACCACCATTATCATGTTATGTGATTTCTCCATTGCATTTAACACAATTCGTTCTAATTTGTTTAGTCAGAAACTCTAGAAGAATCAGAAGGGAGCCAGCTATTCCCTGTATTAAAGTATACTTGATACTGTAGACTACTATTTGTGCGGCTTAAGGGTTGTGTGTCTAATGAGGTTGTCAAAAACAGGAGAATAACATGGGACTTTAGTCCTATTAAAAACAAACATCCTCTGGAGAAATGCTCGGATGACTCTGCAGTCACTGTTGGACAAGTTGTTTAGTATAGAAAGAACGTTTTTGTAAGATTTACAAATTGTCATCCGATTGTTATATATATATATATATATATATATATATATATATATATATATATATATATATATATATATATATATATATATATATATATATATATAATGGATTTCCAACTTTACAACAGTAAACCTTTTTCATTTTGTTTTATAGCTTCTGAGGTGGCGGGTTTTGATGGAAGAAGCAGCCTTGTCTACAGACTTAGTGCCAGAATGAGCTGGACAGCGAGGGAGAGCATCTCTCTGAAGTTTAAAACTTTTAAGGCATCAGGAACACTGCTTCATGCAAAAGGACAGAGGGATCACAGTCTAAACCTGGCACTGGAAAAAGGAAGGCTACTGCTCTACCACCAGCAAGGTACCAAAGTGAATCATTGCAAATATACACATATATATTTACACTCAAGTTTAGACTTTAATTGGCAACAACAACTGTTGTTGTTTGGCCAATAATAATTTTCACCAAGATTTTCACATCTTAAGATTTTTTAAAGTTAATGGATGTCACACTTTGTTTCATCAGTGCTGATATGCTATTTTAATTTTAATTTTATAATTAAGATATTTTAGTTTACATCAAATATTGAGAATTACACCTATCATTTCTACCCAGATAACTTTTTGGATTTTAATACCAAAAGAAAATTGATGTATAAATGTTAAGTATTGGTTTGAAGTGTATGATGCTGCTCAGATCTTATCATTCCATAGCCATCCTCCTTAACATGTCATGAAGTGATAATTACATCTCTACTACTCAGCATGCCATCCATTTGTAAGGAAGGGTGGGTCGTGGACCTCAGAGCCTGAGTGGGGTGATCTTTAAATAAGGAGACAAAGTAGAGGCTGGAAACATCAACCAGATGATAGGTGTTCTCTGGAGAGAGGAATAACGCTTCTCAATTTGGAAATCTGATGGAGCAAGACTGGAAAAAAGCTCTGAAATCTCAGTATTAGCTAATTTTCTGGATATGTTTTTTTTTTATTTGGCCATGTATCCCAATAACCACGATAATATAAAGTTGATCTTATATTAATATACCATTCCATTCACTAGATCCAGAAAAAAATGTATAGTTCAGATTGTGCTGCTGAAATAATCTAATTTTAATAAGTAGATACTCCTTTACTTAAAACGAATAACACATTTAACAGTTGATAGAAAAAAAAAACATAAGCAGTTAGCTATGTACTAAAAACAAGCAAATACTGTATGTTTGTACTTGATTTCAACTGTAACTTTTTGATGATAAACGGTATTAATATGTGCTAACTTTATTCATTCTAGATACTCAATAACATCAATTACTTCAGAGGACACTGCTATTATGTACATTCTGTCATTAATTATCTGGAAGATAAATATTGTTCCAGAAAGAAGAAGAAGTTACCCATTAATTGTAGTTTATTTCATTCCCATCTGTGCCAACTGTTAACTTTAGTTCTTATTTACTTTAGTTTTAAAAAAGAATAACCAACACAATAAAGTTAGTTTATTCCACTGATGCAATCCAGACCATTTAGTTTGTTTTAAATTCAGTACATGCAATTCAATATTGACGTAAGTGTATAATTTTAATGTAGCGGTTATTGGGCTGCTGGGCTAAGGAAAAATCCTTAAGTAAAAATAGTATTTTGAATTGAGTATGCACCTTTGCTGTTTTAAACTCATGGTGTGTTTTTAATTGCAAAGTTTGAATTGTGCAAATTCAAAATACTTTTCACAAATTTTTAATTGTGTGGGGTTTTCATATATGCATTTTTTGATACACATTTGTGAATTTTGTTGTACATTTATAAATCTTCTAAGAGTATAGGATCTTGTTGATCATATTTTACCCATAAAAATGTAGCTGTATACTTTTTCAATTTTTTTAGACCAATTAAGATCCATAGATATGAGCTGAAAGCAGCAGGACATTATGTACACTGCTCGCCCCGTGGCCCTTCATGGCAGCAGCAGTGTTGTTTAGTAAAAGACAGCGGATTAGTTATGACTTCAGTATGACATTTACTACCAATGCCGCCCCTGCAAGAAAATCTTAAGTCAAACAAGGCACAAGTTTCCTGTAGTTAGGTTGGATTGCAGCCTGTTTGTAGTTACACCATAAGTGAACTGCATCTGAGTCTGTTTGAAATTGAACCGGGAACACATGAAAAAATGCATATTAGAGAAATTGTTGGATTCTAATCCAGTGTTTGTTTATATATTCACACAAAGGACTCATATTGGTTTAAAATGGACCAATGGCAGATGTAAATAAACTCTTAATAATTGTGTGGCATCTTAAAAAAGACATTGTTGTACTGTTACTGTAAAATAATCTAAGCTAAATATTAGTTATATTGAATGTTGCTTCAAAGATTATAGGTTGCTTGTTATGATTAATATTGGTTCTGGTGATAGAGTACAGTTTTGTTGTCAGTGTTTCCAAACTTGAAGAGGGGCGGCCCAACCTGAGTATTTGATTTCAAACAGACAGAAGGCTCTTTTCTGTAGACTCTGAAGCTCTACATGTGATGGGTTTAGTCATTATTCACTAATTGTTTATAACTGGGTAAATGTCAGATGAATGCCTAAGCTGCACAGCAATTATGCACTCATTCTTGCTCCCAAATATCCCCATTTTTGTATGCATGGTTGGAATTTAATTCCTGGTACAATTTGTTCCTTAAATAAAAAGGTGTGAGCTGCCGGAAGCATTTTAATAGTATGTTGGTGTTCTGTTTGCCGGATCTGATCCAATTTTGAAGAAACCCAGGGGAATTACACTTATGCCAATCTCCTGAATATTCCCTCTGTGGTGCTTTTCTAATCATAAATCTTTTGCAATTACTGAAAGAAAATGTCTCTAGTTTTGGTTTTATGAAATTGGTAGTTTCTACTGCTGAACATATATACAGTATGTCCAACACTAAAATCAGCATTAATGCAATGTTGTTTATTAACTATTATACAGATGTTTTTTTTTATGCTAATTTAGCTGTATTTCATTCTTATCTTTATATTCTTTTATATATATTTCTAGGTTTTCCCTTTTACCCAGAACTGGAGGTCCATTTTTTTTTTTTTACAATATCTCTCACAGCGTGATATTTTCCATCAAGTTGTCTCCCTTGTAATCTGGGATGAATGCCACCAATATGTGTTAAAGATGAACTCTCCACATCACAGTGGGGTAGCACAACATAACATGATCCATGGCCTCTACCAAAAAAAGGCTGGTGAACTGAGCAGGCCCTTGAAGGAAAGTATGTGACATATTGGTTTGTAGTTTTTTGGACCCACATGCAAAATCACAGAGAACCTGGGAATATTAACAGTTTATTTACAAAAGCAACACAACTCTGGAAGCTGAGAACTGCAGGAAGTAAGTATAACTTTCTGGTTGGTCTGAGGGGTGAAAGCAAACTGATCAGGAACGAGCTGGTTAAGGACAACTGATGACTGATTGATGTGCTTACTTGAGAGATGAAGGGGATTTAATACTTGCTTGACATTAAAAGCAGGAGATCACATCATTGCTTTGCAAGTGTTTCTGGTTTATATAAGGGACACAAATTATCGTATTTGATGTTAATGATATGCAAATAATAGAAAAGGGCTACACGGTGGGGCATTTCTAGCACTGTTGCCTGGCAGCAATAAAGTTTCAGTGTCTTTCTGGAAATTGTTTGCATGTTCTCTCTGTGCATGCGTGGGTTCTCTCTGGGTACTCTGGCTTCCTCCCATAGTGAAATGATGCACAAGCAAGTATCTGAAGGAGGAAGCGATACGCCTGGAGGTGCCCTGCCTGCATGAAAAGATTTCCTTGGTTGCGGTATTGACCTAGCTGCTGTTTACCACATGCCAAAAAAAAAAAAAAAGAATAAATAAAAAGAAAAAGAAAGAAAGAAGGTTTGCAGTTGAGGGGGCCACCCCATGGCCCCCTCAGACCAGTGACTGGAACACGTTTAAAGCTGCAGAAACCTATGACAACCAGACAAATATATATGAGTATGCCATGACTGTGTCAGCTTAAGTCAACAAACGCATTAAGGATGTCAGCATCACAAAGATTCCGGTTCACCACCAATCACATTGAGAAGTTTGCAGACGACACCATGGCCTCATCAGACATGACAATGACCAGGACTATACAGAGGAGGTGGAGCAGCTGGTGGGCTGGTGCAAAGATGACAGCCTGATCCTGAATGCAGAGAAGACAAAAGAGATCATCGTCAACTTCAGGAGGAACCAGCCTAATGCTCCACTGCTCATTAACTGCTCAGCTGTAGAGGTGGTCAGCAGCAAATTCCTGGGCTTGCACATCACAGACACCCTCACCTTGACTGTAAACACAACCTCACTAGTCAAAAGTGCACTAAAGCACTTGTACTTCCTGTGGAGGATGAGGAGAGCCCACCTGCCACCACCCATCCTCACCACCTTCTACAGAAGCACCTTAAAGAGCATTCTGGCCAGCTCTCTCGCTGTGTGGTGTGGAGGCCTCAACGCCTCATACTGAACGAAAGTGAGAAAAGTGGTGAAAACAGCAGAGAGGACCAACGGGGCTCCTTTTGCCTCATGAAAGACATTTCATCCCAGCACTGCATGTCCCAAGTCCGTGACATCATCAATGAACCCTCACACCCCCACCATGGACTGTTCTCCCTGCTGCCCTCTAGGAAGAGGATTCGCAGCATTCGATGCAGGTCCCGCAGATTCTGCAACAGTTTTGTCCCCACCGCCATCAGACTGCTGAACTGTTGAAAAAAATCTAAATCACAGACTCTGCATCACACCAATAACACCAAACCACAATTACTGCATATTTGCACCATATATATTAATGCTCTGAACTTCCATATCAATGCGTTTTTTGCACCATGTTTTTTCTCCCTCACTGTTTAAATTTGATCAATGCTGCACTTTATGGAATAGACATTTTACTGTCTGGAAAGCTGTACTAAATTAAATTTCGTTTTATTCACACTCTTTGTATACAAAATGACAATTAAAGTTGTCTAAGTCTACACCCGGATATTGGATGGTGTTCAAGTATAAGGATGTCCAGCTGTGCACTTGGCACCAGAACAACCTTGGCTGAAGGTTCATTTTGAACTTTGTAGTCATATCTTTTGACATTTGGCCGTATGTCTTAGACACTTGGGTGAAGAGTGAGGTGGAGCTGACCACCTATCACCATCTACTGGGGAGCTGAATAATTTGGAAGAGGAGTAAGCCGGACAGAGTAGGCCGGTCCAAGTTAGTAGTGAGGGCCTGCTAGGACTTTCTGGTGGTGGTCTTGGTCAGGAACGTGTTCAACTCCTACCTCCGGTAAAACTTCTCCTAAATTCCAGAGGAGGCCAGGGACA